TATTTTTATATTCATCATTCTAATTAATTAATTTTTTATTGTAAATTGACAGACTTACCGCAGGAAGGGTGTTGAAACGCCAACTTGGAGTTTGGTTTGACGAATGCTTCCCTCATCCAATCAATTCTGACCAACAAGCTGCAATAATATGCACAACGATGGGATACTCAAGCGGTGTACTTCTGGACGAAAAATCTCGCAGTGCATATCCACCCCCACAGACTATACAAGAAGCTCCATATTATACTATAAATTTAAATGGCTTGGCTTTGATCATTCTCAAAGATGATTTACCATCAGCGGTTTTAGTATCTCAACGTGATGAGTGCAATCGTGCTTTTATTAAATGCTTTGAATAATATCATTTTATCACATTCATTATTTTTAGGTTTTAAATTTTTTTTTAATTTTTTATATATCCATATTGTTGTAAAATTTTTTTATTAATTAAAAAATAAAAAATAATATTTATAATAAAAAAGTATAACTAATTCTTGTATGTATACATTTAATAAGTAAGCATTGACAAAAAAGAAGAAAAAAATATTGATATTAAAATGATGAATTAGTAATTTTAATTGACTTATTAATATAAGTTAAAGAAAGAAAAAATATTCAGGTCAAAATAATATTGAGCATATTAATTCAACACTTGGTTTTCAACCAAGTGATGATAAACATAAAAAAACGCTGCATCGTCAAATCATCTTATGGTGAATGCAATATAACGATTCGGCTGCCCAATTTCAAAACACAGTAACTAACATTTAAAAATTTTTTTCAATTTTTCTTATTAAAAAAAAGTTTGCCCGCCAAATTAATGACAAATTTGATTTATCAATAGAAACTACTCAAATATAAATATTTTTAAGAAAAAATACTTGAAATTAAGGTTTAAAAGTTATAAAAAATGCAGCAATACTAAAAAAAAATCAGGTATAAATATTTTGCAGTTACTGTGTTTTAAAATTGGGCAGCCGAATTACTTTATAACATAATTATGATGTATTGAATCCTTAAAAAAATTGTTATGTATTCAACACAGCGATTCAAAACTTTTTGCCATGTAACAAAATCGTTCAGCAACCCATCTCACCCCATTCTCTCCCGGATAATTCATAGCATTTACTGTATAATCTACAATATATCTACTAGATAGTAATTTGAATAATATAAAAACAGTAATCACAGCACAAATATATGTCATTAGAATAAAAAACGTATAATTTAACTGATCGTGAATTATCATTAGACAAATTGCTATTGCTACTTCGTTTTTCTTTTCCATATTATTTATTGCAGCTGTCATTAGAAAACAATAAGCAAATATTGAGAATAAGGAATACCGCGGCAGTTCGAAGAAAATGACGCTTTAAAAAATGACCTATAATAAAAATTTCTCCAAACATTTGATTTCATCTTACAGCCGTAAATAAAATATCACCTTAAATAAATATTCCGACAAGTTCTACACAAAAATGTTACTTTTATTACAACAATAATCAGTTTGGATTTTTGAGTCCATCTGAAAATTTACTTTTTATATCAGCGAGTGGGTACATCAGTGGCAATTATCCTGGTTCAATCATAAATTAATGTAATCGTACAGGAGTACATATATTATATTATATTTGTTTAAGAATAATATTAAGAAACGAAAGAGTAAGGGAAAAAAATGAAAGTGGAATGAAACAAACTGAAACTTACGGGAGAAAAGATTTCACTGAACAGTAACTATCTTTTTGTATAGTATATTTATGATTATTATTTGTATTAAATGTAGTTAAACTTGACTGGGTCCATGACTTTGGAGAGTTGTGTGGTGAAGAAAAGGAGGCTGATCGCCGTCAATGAGAGAGTAAAGTAAAGGGAGTGCGTTGAATGACGATGTTTCGGTTCCTCATCAGTAGTCAGCGGTATCTCGTGCTGTCCTAATCCTTAACTGTAATGGGACTCTCGATAAGCCGGAATTTTAAGTTTTTCCATTTATCATAATCGGCAATTAAAATTTAACTGTGATTTTATTATAAAAAGTGACTAATTTGATTAAATCTAAGTACAGAAGAAAGGTAAGTCATTTTTTTTAATTATTTTCCCACATACTGTTAGTTCATGTTCTATTTAAAGGTTCAAAAAATTAGACGAATATAATAACGGCCTTGGAAGTTAAAATTTCTTCTCACAATTAAAAATTTTTTTTTTTAATATTTGTTAAAGTAGTTCAAAAAATAATAGTAATAATCTAAACTGTCATCGCATTTTTATGGAATAAAATTCCATGATTTCAATTTCATGGTTTCTTATTATGAGAGAACGGTTTTCACCTGGCTTTGTTTTGTAGCGATAAAGTAAAAGTTAAATTGTGCTTTCGTTTAAGCGAACGAGCAATGAATGGACGACAAACATTACCTTTTAAATTAAGTATAGACAATCTATCGTCTCTAATGCATGTGCAATGTTGATGCTAAGTGCTGATAATAGTTATTCATAAACGTGCCGATGAATATAATATAAGTATGCATAATAATATCGTGTTTCTAATGTCAAAAAAGTATGAAACTTTTATGGATTTTATTAAACCAAGAAGGTGTGAAATGTGTTGCCTAATTTCGGTAGAATGACTTGAAAAAATTCTTTAATTAAGAAAATAATATTTACGGACTTATGTTATTAAATCGTGTTAATTTAATGGATGGGAATCTAGAAGATTTAAGATTTAAAGGTGATAAATCGTGTAATTAAAAAGTAGTACGTTTACGTGGAAAAATTTATTAAAAAATTATTCACCAAAAATTAAGTAAATTAATAACCAAAATGAAGCTTAAAAATAAAGCTTTTTGAAAAATAGACATCATTTTTTTAAATTTAATCAACTTTATATTTTACATACACTCAAAGAGTTTAAAGATGAACAATGGTTATTTACAAATATCAATTTATAATCATTAATAAATTTAATGATAATGTAAAATAAGTCTCTAAAGAATAACTACGATTTATTAATAATAAATACATTCATTAATTAAAAGTAACTTATGTAAATTTCGTGAAAATATCCCAAAGTGTAAATAATCAAAGACTATTAAGAATTTAAGTATTTTGAGTATTTTAAGTATTTTATATTAAGTATTTTGAGAATTATAAGAATCTAAGATTTGAATTGAATTTAATTTAATTTAATTAAAGAACTTAAGAATTAAGAATATATGTTCTAGTTTTAACGTATTAACTAACTAAATTGAAGTTTATATGTCAATAAGAGAGTTGTTAACTATGTATTTTTATACTAAGTCCATTTCTAGGCCGTTAGGCTGAAATAAATAAATAAAAAAAAAAAAAAAAATTAAAAGTAACTTTTGAAGGGCAAGAAGAAAGTAATTGATTGCTAATAAGAAGTTATTTTAAATAGTTTTATCGAAAAAGATCAAAATAGTCTTGTTCTAAGTAAATTTTTTTTTGAAGCAAAAAACTTTTTTTCGCTGACAAAAATTTCAGCCAAAATAATTATTGTCTTTATTAATGTTTTCTTAAATCAAAAAATTTTATTTCCTGCCTAGTAATTGATTTTTTCTCGGTAGTTGTTATTCAATTGTTAAAATTTAAAATTTATAAAAAGGAAATTCTGAAACTTTTATTTTTTGCTCAACAGGAATTATTTTACAAAGTGAAATAAATTACATTAAATTCAATAAAGATAATTATAATTATGAAAATCTTCACTTTTGACTGTTTCAATATTTTTCTGTTCAATGTAAAAACTCTTTAAAATATTAGTTATTGTTAATTTCATGCAAAGCCGTTTGCGTTTTGGTTGTCGAGACTTGATATTGACCTGGCGAAAGTGCCCTTGGAACTTACAATGTTAAGGCCTCCTTTCTTCCTTATTATTCTCATAAATAAGCGAAGTTTTAGCGAATCAAGATTGAAAAATAGCTTTATACACAAACATCCTTTCTACCGTATCATCTTGTAAATATCTTAAGCCATCCGGTATTTTAACTTACTTTTCTCCAACTCTCACATTCAATCGTTTATTTACAGACGATTTGTATCAAAAGATGATAAACTCGAGTCTACATAAATTATCTTGACCTCATTATCTTATATTTTTTGTTTTTATCAAAAAACGATAGATTTGTTTTTAAAAATAAAATTTCATTGTCTAAAAAAAAAAAACAGTTATTGTACACAATTATGATAATGAATATTGTCGAAAAAGTTTTCTGTTAGACGATTATTAACGGGCAAGTTGAAAGTCACAATTTTACTGAGGGAACTTTCACTAATGACTCGAACGTGTCCACCGATGTATTGTAGCGTGTTATGTTGATGAAGTGGTTCACTATGTATATGTTTATGTAAAATGTATTTTATTTTCGAGTACTCCAGTGTGTAATTCAAATTTATAAAACATACATTAGGTGAATAAGTAACCGGTATCTAGATGATAATGATGATGATGATGATGATGATGATGATGAAGAAAATGATGAAGTGAAGACAAGAGATGAAAAAAAAAAATTACAAAGAACATAATATACATAGAATAGGTTTAATAAAAGTTTTGCTCAGGAGCACGAGACCAACTACAACTACAACCATAACTTCAACTATAACTAACGTATTATACACAAGTAAAGAGTTTGTATTAAAAGCCGTTCCACTTGTTTCAGTGGCCTGCTTTCGTGTCCCACTTTTGCTCATACCCAGCTCAGGACTGCACGATAGATACTACACCAACACGTTGACTTAACGACTCAAACTTCCTTGATGCGGATACTGACTCCTGATGTTCAATATCTAGATTTGATATTGGATTCATTACAAACATCAAACATGCTCACCATTGCTTCATTACTGCTGTGATTTAGAAAATAAGGAGACTGGACTGTCATATTTGGCTGAAAGTGATGCAGCGGAGATTAATATGGAGAGAAAAATAAAAAGTACCTATTTTTAATTAATTAAATAGCTAAAATTCTCATCAAAATTATTCAGCTATGAATGCTGTATTTTTTTTCATAATTGGTATTTATTTGAATAATTTACCGTCTGGTTTTGCGGATCCTGGCTCTCGGAGAAATGATAAATATTTATCGTTTAGTAAGTTTATTTTTTGGTTTTTTTTTTTTTGGAAAATTTTATGTTAATAACGACTACTGGTTTTAGATGCTGGTCATTATGATGAGCATTTAAGTAATGAAATATCAAGTGGACGACCGCGATTTTTTGATGAATTAGGATGTAAGTATATTTCAAAAGTATTGCAATTTTTTTTGGTTTAAGTTAAAAAAAAAAAAATGATTTAATAAAATGAGAAAACCGCAAGTGAATAGACATTTTTTTCCTTAATTTTTTAAGAAGTTTGTTTGATCCCCTTTTCCTGTGTAATATATTTATTTTACCTGGCTTGAGCCAAAATCTTGTTGATTAAACCTACACGAACTTTACAAACATACATTGGACTTATCAGGACTTCAAAGGATTTAATTAAATCTATTTAGACTCAATTTGGAAAGAATTTCCTTGACAAACTGTTGGCAAACATTATTAATCGGTCCCATTTTTTTTAATAGGCTCATAATTATTTAAGAAAAAGCTGTAACACAAATGGCTTTTCAATTTCTTTGCGGTTTGCTATAATAAATAAAACTTAAAATCGACAATGTAGCTCAAATAACAGAAATTAATAAAAGTGATGGTTGATGTTCTTGTTCACACCGTCAGCATTCCTCACAGTCTCTTCTCTCTCTAATCAACGAATAAACTGTAGTATATCATGTTCGCAGTGCTTAAAGCGCTTGCGTGTCAAATAGAGCTAAATTCAATTTCAATTTTTAATTTTTAACTTCTCACTATGAAAGTCAATGATTTCATGTGAATTAGAATCGATTTGGCTCGGTACACTGAGAAAAAAAAATACTTTTGCTCAATTAACAATTTCTTGGCTCAAGAAATTCGCTGACGATCAATTATTATATTAATATTAATTATTAATTTCTGAAGAGAAGAACATCAATATTTATCTTTGGATAATAGATAAACAAAAGAATTGCTTTATTTAAATTAAGTAAAAATTATTTCAATCAATTTAACGATTTCTTGAGCTAAGAATATATATTCTTGAAAATTTTCAAGAACATAAATTCTTGTATCAAGAAAATTTTCTTAATAATCTTTGGATAATAGATAAACAAAAGAATTGCTTTATTTAAATTAAGTAAAAATTATTTCAATCAATTTAACGATTTCTTGAGCTAAGAATATATATTCTTGAAAATTTTCAAGAACATAAATTCTTGTATCAAGAAAATTTTCTTTATAAAAGTATTTTTTTTTCTCAGCGTAGATTTTGAGGAATCTCAAAAATAAAATTAAAAAAATTGTTTTTTTGAGATAACTTTTAAGCTGATGAATCGATTGATATCAGAATATAATCAGCTTTCAACCTTAAAAAACAACGTCGATAGCCGCGATCTGCATAAAAATTGATTAATTATTCATTCAAGAGATATCGTTGTCGAAAAGTTTAAAAAAAAAGTGTTTTTTTCGCATAACTTCGGAATTTTTTGTATAAATAATTTTACAGATAATAAGTAATCTTTTTATGTTAAGAAAATTGCGTGTAGTACCGAATCAAACTCAGTTGATTCATCCAAGAGATATATTATTGTCAAAAAAATTCAAAAAAAATATTTTTTCTTCACACTGGTAGAAGGATTTCTTAGCATTTAAGAAGATTTCTTTGCATTTCAGAAATCATTTCTTAAACATCATTTCTTAGTATTTAAAAAATATTTCTTAGTATTAAAGAAATATTTCTTAAATATTAAGAAATATGTATATTTCTTAAATACTAAGAAATAATTCTTAAATACTAAGAAATATTTTTTAAATACTAAGAAATAATGTTTAAGTAATAATTTCTTAAATACAAAGAAATCCTCCTATCAATGCATAACTCTAAAATTTTGCGTTAGATCGTTTTTGTAATAATATTTTTTCTGATAGTACTTGAAAAAATATATTAAATGCCGTAAACAGTATTAAAATTTGTTGATTCTTTTGGGAGTTAAAAATAAACATATCAGTCAATGTAGAACTGCTCACCTATTTTTTGTTATTAAGTATCATCATTTTCTTTTATGATAAAATCAACGTAACATTTTTTAAAGTTCACGTAGGCTTAATCAACCCCGTCGATTTCGACTCGGGAATTTACTCCGAAAAAAAAATATTTTGAAAAAATTTCAAAGACGTCAAAATACAATTTGAAATTTTTGAAGAATCTAAACTAAAATCAAGTTCAATCTAAGCTGAAACTTGTTAATCGACATAATTTATACTCTTTATAACTGACATGATAATAAACATAGATTTATAAAAAAAAAAAAAAGCATAAAATAAATAAAAAATTAGTAAAACCCGTTTTATAAGTTAATATGATCAGGTGTCACGAAGTGTCTCATTCCGAGTTCTGATTTGGTTCCAACCGAGTCGGTATCAAAGTCACACGATCTGAAAATCTTCATAGCAGTTTGCATGCTCTGAAGACGACATGACGTCTTCTTACGTATGCAGTAGCCAGTGGTCTATAGAGTATAAGCTATATTGTGAACTACGGAAGCCAGTAAATGTATATACAGCGAGGAATTCTCGTCAAATAAAACAACGACTGAAAAATAAATGCGTACTTACTTGGCACGAAAGAGAAAGGCTTGCAATGATTAAGTATCCTTTTTTTTTGCTACGACAAAAGAGTTTCTTCTTTCGGAAGCAGCTAATATCACCCAACTAGAACGTCTTGGTGACACGCAAGCCTTAAGTCTATCATTATTCATTATCATTATCAATTCTTTATTTTATTCATTTCCTTCACAAAAAATTAATAATATTGAAAATAAAAATAAATAACTTACTACTCAAACTGTGTCAGTAAACTCACGATAAAATTGATTGTTAGTCAGTGATTCCATGTGCGTGAAGATAAATGAATCATACGTGAGGAATCAATTGTAATTGAAAAATAAATAGAGAAAGGAAAGAAGAAAAAGTGAGATACGAGGACGTTAAGTTTTTCAGTCTTGCCTTTTTTTGGAAAATGATTCCATGGCTGTCCATGATTCTTCTGGTAAAACTGAAGAAAGAAGGATGAAGAAGAGTAGAAATAGAGGAATGAGGAAATTGGTGGTAGGATGAGAAGGATTAGGTAGCATAGCTGAAAAGACACGACGAGAAAGCCAAAGTCGGTGAAAGCAAGCAAACGACTTGCTAGTACGGCAAGTGTTCGATCCGAGCGTGACAGACGTCGCTTGGCACTTGTAACATCCACGTGCATTAAAATTTTATTTTATATATACATTTTTTTTTCACTTCTGACTGATCTTGACAGTGGTAATTGGTTGGCAATTAGTGGTTTGATTGTTTATTAATGCGGCAATTTTTATTTTGAATCATTGTTGTTTTGGTGCTGTGGTTGTGGAAAGAATTTATGTGAACGATGACAAATTTGTGGAGGGTTGATTGATTTCTTCATACACTGAGTTAAATTTTTGGTGGATGATGCTGCTGAGATTCATTGCAAGGAAATCAATTGCTCAAAATGACAAATATGCTGTTTTTGAAGCAGCTATTGTCGTGTTTGTATTCAACTTCATCGTCGAAATTCAGGGAAGAAATGTTTATGGAACAGAACTTGGTGACAGGCCTCAAGAACAGTTTGCGTATTCGAGATCCAGGAGTTTTTCGAGGGATCAATTTTTTCCGGTTGTGAGAAAACGGCTTAGTATTGATAGATATTTTGACGGTAGTGATGATTTTAGTGGTAGTAATAATCATAATAATAATAATAATAATAATAATAATAATAATAATAACAATAGTAATAACAATATAAATAGCAGAATTGAGAAGAAAGAAATTAGAAGAACGCAAAAAAATGATGTGCAGAGGTTAACAGAATTCAAAAATAAGCCGCAGAGCAAATTAATCGAGGAGGAATTTACGGACGTCCAAATTGAAAAGCTGCAAAATTTTGGGGAAGACGATGATACTAAGAATGAATTGGAGAAGCTTTTGGACGAATTGAGGGGTTCAGATGGCAGCAAAATTGAGGAACAATCAAGTGAGCGTGGACGTCGTGGTAGAAGAAGAAAACTTAGCAGCCATGAACAAGGAATTCTACTTGTGGAGACTCTGAAGAAGAAGAAAAATTACACTAGTTACGACGACCATCGGGGGCATGCGGCGAATCTTAACAGTGGAATAATGGACATGCTTGGGAGAAGTATGCCTTGTTTAAGCTTGTTATATATATATATAAATTATAATTGTTGTAATAATAGAAAAATAATAATGTTGAATAACGTTATATGTTTCGGACGGTTGCCAATTGGAACTGTTACACTTAGTGACAACTGAGTCAACTAGGATGTCCGTATTATCGCGTGCTACATCTATTTTGCATTCATTTATATTTTTACTGGACAATTCCGTACTGGATAATTTAACTTTTAGGTGGAAAAATGCAAGTATTCAGGTGGTTATTATTGTTATTGTTATTTTGTTTTCTTTTGAATTACAGTGATTCCTCAAACGTGCAAATATAAAGGCGCCAAATTCGAATGTGGTTTAAGTATCAGCTGCGTGTTGAGTGGGGGACGACCTGTTGATTTATGCTCCGGTGGTCTCATTTGGAGCTGTTGTGTTGATGATGATGATATCCCGGAAAAAGAGCCTTCGAGACCTACATCTGGAGTCCTGCAAAATGCCAGTGAGTTTTTGGTTTTTTTTTATATTGTTAAAAAAATTTACAGTAGGAGATAACGGGTTCCAAATAATGTCAGAAATTAATAAGTACTTTGTAGTTCTCATAAAAAGCAATAATGATAATAATATGTTTCTTATGTACAAAATACATGAACAAAATTAACTAAAAACTTTTTGTAATTTATGTGCTTAAAATAATTAGTTTTTTGATTTTTGGAGCCATTAAAAGTTTTTTTTTGTGTAAATTTTAATTAAAAATTTCAATAATAATTATTGTTATAATAGATACCTAAAAATGCTATTATTTAGTAAATAATAATTTGAAAAAAAAAAAAAAAACGAATTTTTGTATTGAGTTACTTTATTTTAATTATTAATACATATTTTTGACTGAGAACAAATAACTCTTTTCGACAATTTTTTTAAAAAAAAAGGGCTTACACTTTTTTCTCTCTCGCCCTCTATTGGACAAACGAAAGTATCTCTGTCATACTTGTGCAACAAATATAATTTTAAAACGCATTTTATGCATAAATAAATAAAAATTTTCAAAAAAGTGATTCGCTCTTCGATATATAATTAAATTATCTATCGAAGAGCAAATCATTTTTTTCGAAATTTTATCTTATATATAAGCAAAACACGTTTAAAAATTAACTATCAACTCTCTTAGAAAAAAAAAAAAAAATATTTTTTTCATATACTTTTGAAGCTAACGAAAACATCACGTATATATTCAAGGTTTAAAAGAAAAAGGTTGAATTACGAGAAGAAAAATTTAACTGTATCATTTAAGCCGATAAAATTTAAGACATACTTTATTCTTATTACCTTAAATATATTTTTTGTCAAAGAACTATTAAATTAAACAACGATAAATTCACTGTTTGAGCAACAATTTTTTTTACAATTTCAGCAGATTTACAAATCAAGATTATTTTTTTTTACATATAGTTCACTTTGTTGCAGCTAAAAAAGTTTGAAGCACAATTTTTTCTTTAACTGTATGTTAACTACAACAATGATAATAATAAATTTCGAGTATAAGCTCAAATAAATTTTTGTTTATTAACAAGTTCATAAAATTAAAGAGTCATTTTAAGGAACTATAAAAATGAGATTTTATTAAAACGGTATTTACTTTGAAAAACTAATTACTTCTAACAGAATTAAATGCTCCAAGTGTTTTTCCACAAAAACAACAAACTACAGTTTAAAATACAATAAAAATTTAAACACAGCAATTATGATTAAAAAAAAAAGATATAACGTTATCTGATGAAATGCGAAACATTTAAAAATATGACAAGACATTTATTGAGTACTCATTACTACAATTCAATGCATGACTTTCTTTGTTCCCTTATAAATTGTGAACCGGAACGAGTGATTAAGCATATTCTACTCTAGAGTAAGAAAAAATAATTAACCGAACTAATAAGACCGTACGTACGAACTGACAATAATTGGCCGTCGGATTAGTCGGAGGTTAAATAAATTATAATTTGTAATAATTTTTACGGACAGAGAAAGAGTAAAAACAAAAAATGACGATTCATCGAGACGATTGAACTTGAGATAGATAAATTTTAGCGTTTTCAATGATCTTGGGGAATCAACGACCTTATGTGGAAGACGATGTGAAAATATATGGAAACGGACTGGCTCAGCGACCCCATCGACCAAATTCTCATCAAAGTGGTGACAATAGTGGACTTTACGGGTCTACTTACTCGGCTTGGGAGCAAGATCGGCCCAACGATTTGTCTTCTTTTGATCGCCCTAACTATGCCAGTCATCCTGACACTAGTTATCCAAATAACTTTTATCCTGATGATGATTACAACACTCGTCCAGTTGTTGGAGGGACTGAAGATTATCAGAATAATGCACAGGATCAGTCCAAGTACCGTGGTAATCAAAAAATCGTCTGCAAAAATAAAACTATTCAAGGATATGATATATGATTCACCACCACTGAGCACTTTCTTTATATTATTATCTTTTTTATTTATCTTTCTCCTCTTCCATCACCGTGCAATCTATATTTTTCGGCTTATTAATTTACGAGCGACTGGATAGATGCTTGACAATAAATATATAGAATGAATATTAAGTAAATGGCAGCACACGCATGATACCAGAAAGCTGGAACTGATAAATGACACGATTAGCCAATCACTTTATTTATCATGGAATAAATTTATTTTCGGATTTTGTTTACTGTTTTGTTGTTGTGTTTAATGCCGTTTATTATTTATTTACAGGCTGCGGAGAGCTCTACACGAGAAGTAACAGGATCGTGGGTGGACATAGCTCCAGCTTCGGCAGTCATCCATGGCAGGTGAGAGTTTTTTAAACGCTCGAAATTTGAATTTTACTTAAAAGTTGTCCGTTTCACCGTTTATTTCACTTTTATTCATATTTTAAATTTCTTTTTTATATTGATATCATGCAGTTGTATTCTTATCGAATTATCTGAATGTTAATTTGAAATGTTTCGGTGATTTAGTTAAAACTAATTGAACATTCCGAAGCTATAAAAAAAGAGATAGTTCATAACTTTTTAACTATTTAATGAGGCCTAAAAATCTTTTTCTCAATGACGCATTTAATGGTCCACATTTTATGTCGATATCTTTAGTAGTTTGTGATTTATTTTATAGAATTCCAAGAAATAGTTTTAATTTTTTTTTTATGGAAAAAGCGACATTAAAAGTTCTAATTTTCTAAAATTTTTATGAACAATAAATTAACATAAAATTGAAAGTTCATCCCACTGCAAATGAGAGCTTAATATCGTTCCGAATAGCGCCGCTTTGACCAGTAACTTAAATAATGCAATAATGCGATTTATCTTGTTAATAAACAAGATGCTGCTGATAAATGATCCTGTGGGAAGTCTATTTTCTAAGTACAATTTCGATAAGGTATCCTTAAATCTAACCTGACCTTACTAATTATATGGAATTCATCGCAGCTGATTCTAATCTAGTCTTCAGTAGCAAGCCTTACTTTATGCTATCATGGAAAGATAAGTTAGCTATATTTGACCTAAATCTCCAAGAATACCCTAAATCCACAACGGCTGTATATTCGTACAGATTATTGAGACAGGTAATTCTTGGACCTAAGATCTCGATTTACTCAAATAAATCTTGGGTGCAAAAAACTCCCCAGATTTCGCAGTAAGTAACTTTCGTCTTTCTCAAGAAGAATCTCAAAAAAAAAAAAAAACCCTGCACAGAAAAACAATTTACTTGAATCAAGTAAATAATTTTGAAGAATTTCATCTTCTCGGTTTAAGTAGAAAAATTCTTTAACTAAGAAATTTTTCTTGGTTTAAGTAAATTTTACTTAATTCAAGAATTTTTCTCCTGCTTCAAGTTAATTTTTTTTTTCAGTGTGGGCCTCTATTTTGTTTAATTCTGTCTTTTTTGTTTTTCTGGTCATATAAGTTAGTACATTATCACTTCTGTTCTCTCTCCTGCTTATTTATATATTAAAATTGTATCCTAGGTAATACATTTAAATGATTAAATTAAAAAAATAGCATTTTGAAAATTTGAAGACATTAGTAGAGTATGTTATAACAAAATAATAATTTTATTCTAGGCGGCAATAATAAAATCAGGTTTTCTGACAAAAAAATTGTCATGTGGAGGGGCATTATTAAATAACCGTTGGGTTGTCACTGCTGCTCATTGCGTTGCAACGTACGTATAAATAAAATATAAAATATAAATAAATCTAATAATTAATTAAACAATTACAGAACTCCAAACAACAATCTAAAAGTAAGATTAGGTGAATGGGACGTGAGGGACGGCAGTGAAAAACAGCTGCACGAAGAATACAACATAGAAAGAAAAGAGGTATTTAAAATATATATTTATTAAAAAATATAAACAATGATAATAATTATTATTAACACAATAAATTCTATAAAAAATAGGTTCACCCTCAATATTCGCCAACGGACTTCCGGAATGATGTAGCTTTAGTGAAGCTTTCACGAGCGGTTGCTTTTAAACAACACATTGTTCCAGTTTGTTTGCCTGCACGAAATCTGAAACTTTCAGGACGCACTGCAACCGTAGCGGGCTGGGGAAGGACGCGACACGGTCAAAGTTCCTCTCCAAACGTTTTGCAGGAAGTTGATGTCGAGGTTATTCCTAATGAACGGTGTCAGAGGTGGTTCAGAGCTGCCGGACGAAGAGAAACAATCCATGATGTTTTTCTGTGCGCTGGTTACAAAGAAGGCGGCAGAGATTCTTGTCAAGTAAATACTTGTTTATTATTAAATTATTATTTTGTTCATTATAGTTAAATTATTCATTATTAATTTATTTGCAGGGTGACTCAGGTGGTCCTTTGACGATGGCCGTTGAAGGCAGACATGTTTTGATAGGCTTGGTCTCTTGGGGAATTGGTTGTGGCCGTGAACATTTACCAGGGGTTTATACAAATATACAGAAATTCGTACCGTGGATCGACAAAGTTATGAGTTGAGATGTTGTCAGCAATTATTAAATAGTAATAATTATTGTCTTTATTTATTTATTGTCATAATTGTTAATGCCGGCCAACCTCATCTCTACTCGTTTTTTCTGATCATGTAAGATTAGAATTTTTTTTTCTTGTAGATATGTTGTACAATTTATAATAATTATCAAGCCCGTCTTTTTCATAACTATTAAACTTAGTTAAAAATTTTTTTGCGATAATTTATTGTTTTATAAAAAAATGCTTGAGTAAAAAAAATATTTTATAGATAAGAAGTCGATAAAAAGTTTCGTTCGTATAAATACTCCAAAATTTAAGATTCGCAAGTCTTTGATAAAAATATAGTGAATTATATTTTTTTTATTCATCAGTTACGTTAACTAGTTTTGTATAAACGCACTGATTTTTTATGTAATACTTTTCGAAATTATCAATACTTTTTCGTGGCAATGATGTATCATGAAGTTTTTTGCAAAGATCACAAAGCGTTGATTCATTAGTATCGTCGATAGAATAATATTTTTTCCACCAAAAATATTTAGCATACGCAGCTGGATTCGCTGATAATTTTAATAAAAATTTAGCCAAGTGTCGAGTATCATTGAAATTTCTCACGTCGATGTAGGAATGTGGTGGAATAAATTGTGAGTAATCAGCACCACCGTAAACAATCGGAATAACGTATTTTTGCATCGGTAAAAATAATTTCTCAGTTATATAATGTTTACAAAGAGTATTTTCAAATGATAAGTAAAAATAATAATCTCGCTCAACAAGATTATGACAATCATGATTCGCTGTCTTATTACACTGTTTATCACCACATTTGCCGTAAACATCAATCTGTAAATAGTTTATTAAATTAACAATAATTTACATGATAAGTAATAAATAACTATAGTAAAGTGATCTTATTCTTGTATCAAATATTAAATTAAATGTTTTTTTCTGATATTTTTTATTTTAGATATTTTCTATTTAAAATTAGTTAATAAAAATTATAGAAATAAACAATTGTGAAAATTTTATTTTTACTACACAAATGATTCCTCTACTAATGAAAAAAAAATTTTTCTAAGAATAAAAATTGAATTTCAAGTTATTATAATTAATGTTCAATAATGTTGTATGAAATTTTTCTATATTATAGAATACAAAAAATACTCAAGGAATAAATTAAAAAATTTTACTTTTGAAAATGTTTAGAAAATTATAAAAAATAATTAAATTGTATAATTGAACTTCTTTAATACCTGAAAGTACTGCTGAAGATTGGCAACCAATAATTCTCTTTGAGAATTAGTCTCACAATGTGAGACAAACCAAGCAGCCATTTTTTTTTTACCTTTAATAATAGCCATTTCTTTATCAGTCGGAATGTATTTGTCATCATACGATCGCCATTTAACAATACCATCGGGATCGAGTGGTGGTGCAATTATTGTATCACTTTCAATTTCCCTAACTTGACCATAAGGCCTTCTTATATCGGAATCCAATCGATATGACATTGTCCAGTTGTAAAAATTTGGGTTAAAAACGAATTGAAAATCATTTAACGGTCTGAAAAATTAAAAATCAATAATTTAATTATAATATTTAAAATAATTGTACACAAAAAAAAAAAATTCTTGACTTGAACGTAAATTTTTCTAGCTAAAGAAAATATTAAGGAAGACTGAAAATTTTTTGAAGTTAAAATTTCTGGACGTAAAAAATTTGTTTGTTCTGGTTACTAATCACTACATGAAAAGAAAATGATATAAATTTCAATTACCAAAAAATATGGATAAAAGTATATACCTAGAAACAGGTGATTCCCATGAAAAATATATGTAACGCTGATGAGTCGATCTATAAATCGGGAGATCATTTAGCTGCATTTCAATTCCATGAAATAGTATGGCATCATAATCAGTTATAAAATTGAATAATTTTCTATCAGATGTCGCATAGCAATGAGGTACTGGACAATTTTTGAAGACATCTCCTTCACCAAACATAAAGTCTTTATGTTTTTCTGCGTACATGGTATTCCAGTAAAGAATAGTTTTCACTTTTTTATAATCTCCCGGTGAGTAATGCCATCTTTTTTGAACTACCTATTTAGATTAATTCAATTCTTTTTATCAGTAGATAAATAAAAAAAAAAAAGTTGGAAAATCTAAAAGAGCACGACTCATAATACTTATTAAATTGTGAGAAAAAAAAAAATTTTTTTTGATCGTAAAATACTTTCTAATGCTCCGCATTATGAGTCGTGAAATAGAATTATTCAATTTCCCACAATATTAAGAGAGCAAAATACTTTCTAAATTTTACTTATAATTTTTCAAAAAAAGTTTGCGTTCAAAATTTTTATGTTAAATATTTACTATTTTAGTTTGAAAATTTGATAAAATTGTGTTAAATCAAAAAATTGAAATTTTAAATATTTAACATAAACTTTTTTCATTTAATCACAGAAAATTTTTTACCGTGAATTGATTTTCTAAATCTTCAATGAAGAAAAAAAAATGATATATAATTGCAGCCACTATGGTTATTTCTAAATATTGCACTAGTTTCAATAATAAAAAACTTTTATAATTCAATAATATAATTTTGATTACCTGATAAGTTCTTTTAGTGTTATCGTATAATACCGGTGTCCAGGCGTAAATCACAATTAAAATAAGCGTAATAAATATAAGAAAATCGAGATACCACCACAATTTTCGCATTTTTATAAATTTATACTTTAAAAAAAAAATTTTTAAACTTAAAGTAACAATTAAATAAATAACTATGTTAACTACAACTAATACGAAACTCTTGTATCAGGTACATTGGTGAATTCAACGTTGTGTTAATTAAAATGAGATTTTATTAACCATTTATCACCACCAACACTATGCAAAACAACATTTATTAATATTACAGTTAACAGCATTCTTGAGATTAATTTTAAGCCTATAATACTTTAAACAAATCATTAAATTACATTTATACTGATAGAACACATGTTGATTATATTCTGTTATCTAAATTCGTCAATATCAGAACTAATTCGAATCCAGAAAAAAAATACGTTGACTCGTTAGATCCCAACTTTTCTACAAGAAGAAATCCTGAATTATAAATTTTTTGTAAATAATTATGTTTTATTTTTATGGGCTATGATAGTTGAAAAAATAAATAACAAATTATAAATAAATATAAAAAATAGGGTGTTTAGAGCTTTTACTTTATTGTCATTGACACTACTATGAGTATGCTACAATGTGCTAACAATGCTAACATAGATGGAAGACTGTTGCCCTGTAGAGATCGTTTCTACTCCTCTGTTGAGTTTAGAATGTCTACTTTGTTTACATCAAATAAATTAGAAATCGACTTGCCTGGATAAAAATATTTTTGATAACATGATTTATACTTTAGGTTTTCATACAGAACCTAAAAATTATTTGGACCTTTCTATACATAAAATTCATGATTGAATTAAAGTTTATTTTTTAGTTCAAAAATTATCGAAATACATTGAATTGTCAAAAGAAAATGGTAGCTGATTTTTTATTGGTTAAGATTGAAGCGCGCGCGTGGCGCGAAATTGAAATTCCTATTAGAACTAAAAAGTTATAAAGGGTATAGTAGACGTACCTTTACCCTCTGTGTGAAAAGAATTTACACGAAAAATTTATGCAATAATTGTAGATTTGTGAAGTTTTTTAAAGGACTAATTTCTTCATTCAAAACATTAAAAAAAACTAAAGATTTAACGAATTTTGAAATGCTTTTTTAGTTTTCATAGATAGTTTCTAAACAAAATATTGAGACAAATTTTGAGTTGAAATAAACGTGTATTTTGTTTAGAACAATAAAATGATTTCTTGAATTTGTAGAATTCTTAATTGGAAACCTCTCATTTTTATTCAAGAGTTTGACTTTATTGATTAAAGAGTTAATTTTTTGACTTAAAAAAATAATTAAAAAAAAAAAAACGGAATTTATGTTTTAATTTTCGAATTACAACAAAAGTTTAAAACTAATTAATAAATTTGTCAATTGCTTTTTGGCAGAGTTAAAGAAAAAAAAAATAAAACGAATTCTTTAAAGTGCACTTTAAGGGGGCATTATTAAATAACCGTTGGGTTGTCACTGCTGCTCATTGCGTTGCAACGTACGTATAAATAAAATATAAAATATAAATAAAACTGATAATTAATTAAACAATTACAAAACTCCAAACAACAATCTAAAAGTAAGATTAGGTGAATGAGACGTGAGGGACGGTAATGAAAAACAATTGCACGATGAATACAACATAGAAAGAAAAGAGGTATTTAAAATATATATTTATTAAAAATTATAAACAATGATAATAATTATTATTAACACAATAAATTCTATAAAAAATAGGTTCACCCTCAATATTCGTCAATGGACTTCCGGAATGATGTAGCTTTAGTGAAGCTTTCACGAGCGGTTGCTTTCAAACAATACATTGTTCCAGTTTAATTGCCCGCACAAAATCTGAAATTTTCAGGACGCACTGCAACCGTAGCTGGCTGGGGAAGAACGTGACACGGTCAAAGTTCCTCTCCAAATGTTTTGCAAGAAGTTGATGTCGAGGTTATTCCTAATGAACGGTGTCAGAGGTGGTTCAGAGCTGCCGGACGAAGAGAAACAATCCATGATGTTTTCCTGTGCGCTGGTTACAAAGAAGGTGGCAGAGATTCTTGTCAAGTAAATACTTGTTTATTATTGAATTATCATTTTGCTCATTATAGTTAAATTATTCATTATTAATTTATTTGCAGGGTGACTCAGGTGGTCCTTTGACGATGGCCGTTGAAGGCAGACATGTTTTGATAGGCTTGGTCTCTTGGGGAATTGGTTGTGGCCGTGAACATTTACCAGGGGTTTATACAAATATACAAAAATTCGTACCGTGGATCGACAAAGTTATGAGTTGAGATGTTGTCAGCAATTATTAAATAGTAATAATTATTGTCTTTAATTATTTATTGTCATAATTGTTAATGCCAGCCAACCTCATCTCTACTCGTTTTTTTTCTGATCATGTAAGATTAGAATTTTTTTTTCTTGTAGATATGTTGTACAATTTATAATAATTATCAAGCCCGTATTTTTCATAACTATTAAACTTAGTTAAAAATTTTTTTGAGGTAATTTATTGTTTTATAAAAAAATGCTTGAGTAAAAAAAATATTTTACAGATAATAAGTAGACTTCAAAATTTGAGATTCGCAAGTCTTTGATAAAAATATAGTGAATTGTTTTTTTTTTTTATTCATCAGTTACGTTAACAATTTTGTATGAACGCACTGATTTTTTATGTAATACTTTTCGAAATTATCAATACTTTTTCGTGGCAATGATGTATCATGAAGTTTTTTGCAGAGATCACAAAGCGTTGATTTATTAGCATCTTCGATAGAATAATATTTTTTCCACCAAAAATATTTAGCATACGCAGCTGGATTCGCTGATAATTTTAATAAAAATTTAGCCAAGTGTCGAGTATCATTGAAATTTCTTACGTCGATGTAGGAATGTGGTGGAATAAATTGTGAGTAATCAGCACCACCGTAAACAATCGGAATAACGTATTTTTGCATCGGTGAAAACAATTTTTCAGTTACATAATATTTACAAAGAGTATTTTCAAATGATAGGTAAAAATAATAATCTCGCTCAACAAGATTATAACAATCATGGTTCGTTGTCTTATTACACTGTTTATTACCACATTTGCCGTAAACATCAATCTGTAAATAGTTTGTAAAATTAATAATAATAATTTACATGATAAGTAATAAATAACTATAGTTAAGTGAATTTATTCTTGTATCAAATATTAAATTAAATGCTCTTTCTGATATATATTTCGTATTTTAGATATTTTCTGTTTAAGATTAGTTAATAAAAATTCTAAGACATATAATTAAATTGTATAATTGAACTTCTATAATACCTGAAAGTACTGCCGAAGATTGTCAACCAATATTTCTCTTTGAGAATTAGTCTCACAATGTGAGACAAACCAAGCAGCCATTTTTTTTTTACTTTTAATAATAGCCATTTCTTTATCAGTCGGAATGTATTTGTCATCATACGATCGCCATTTAACAGTACCATCGGGATCGAGTGGTGGTGCAATTATTGTATCACTTTCAATTTCCCTAATTTGTCTATAAGGCCTTCTTATATCTGAATCTAATCGATATGACATTGTCCAGTTGTAAAAATTTGGGTTTAAAACGAATTTATAAACATTTAACGGCCTGAAACATTAAATATCAATAATTTAAAATAATTGTAGACAGAATAAAAAATTCTTGACTTGAACGTAAATTTTTCTAGCTAAAGAAAATATTAAGGATGACTGAAAATTTTTTGAAGTTAAAATTTCTGGAAGCAAGAAATTTTTTTGTTCTGTGTACTAATCACTACAGGAAAAGAAAATGATAGAAATTGCAATTACCAAAAAATATGGATAAAAGTATATACCTAGAAACAGGTGATTCCCATGAAAAATATATGTAACGCTGATGAGTCGATCTATAAATCGGGAGATCATTTAGCTGCATTTCGATTCCATGAAATAGTATGGCATCATAATCAATTGTAAAATTTAATAATTTTCTGTCAGATGTCGCATAGCAATGAGGTACTGGACAATTTTTGAAGATATCTCCTTCACCAAGCATAAAGTCTTTAAGTTTTTCTGCGAACATAGTATTCCAGTAAAGAATAGTCTTCACTTTTTCATAATCTCCCGGTGAGTTATGCCATCTTTTTTGAACTACCTATTTAAATCAATTCAATTCTTTTTATCAGTAGTATAAATAAATGAAAAAAGAAAAGTTGAAAAATCCAAAAGAGCATTCTTAAATCAACACAAAAAAAAATGTTAAATATTTAACATAAAAATTTTTAACACAAAATTTTTTGACGCAATGACGCAAAATTTTTTTCTGTGCAAAATACTCATTAAATTGTAAAAAAAAATTTTTACACCTAGAACATTCTATAATTCTTTACATTATGAGTAATACAAAAATTTCTATATTTAGTAAACAATAAAAATTTGTCAAATAATGGATTTTTTTTTCAAGTTGTCATGTATTCTGGCCCGAAAATTTTTCAATCTAGATCAATTAAATCAATTTTTAAAATGTGCTCAGTTTATCATCATTCAATTATTCGTTTGATAGTATACAAATTATGTTTGAATTTTCGGAACAAAAAAAAGTGTAACAATGAAAACATTTGCAAGTCGGGGACGTAAAAAACTTTTTGATCGTACAGCACTTTCTAATGCTCCGCATCATGAGACGTGAAGAGAAACTAATTCAATTTTCCATAATATTAAGATATATTAAAATATTCTCTAAAAATATTCTTTAAATTTTACTTATAACTTTTTAAAAAAAATTTGAGTTAAAAATTTTTATATTAAATATTTGATATTTATTTTAGTTTAAAAATTTGATAAAATTGTGTTAAATCAAAAAATTGAAGTTTTAAGTATTTAACATAAACTTTTTTTATTTAATCACAGAAAATTTTTTGCTGTGAATTGATTTCATAAATCTTTAATGAAGAAAAAAAATAATATACACACACACACACATATATATATATATATATTAATATTATATATATTATTATATATTATATTGCACGATAATTATTCCTAAATATTGCACTAGCTTCAGTAATAAAAAACTTTCATAATTCAGAAATATAATTTCGGTTACCTCATAAGTTCTTTTAGTGTTATCGTGTAATTGCGGTGTCCAGGCGTAAATCACAATTAAAATAAGCGTCATAAATACGAGAAAATCGAGATACCACCACATTTTTCGCATTTTTGTAAATTTATCCGTTCAAAAAAAACAAGAAAAAATTTTAAAACTTAACGTAACAATTAACTAAATAATTATGTTAACTACATCTAACACGAGACTTTTGCAGCAGGTACTTCGGTGAATTCAACGTTGTGTTTTTTAAAATGAGATTTTATCAACTATTTATCACCACGAACACTATGCAAAACAACATTTATTAATATATTACAGCTAGCAGCATTCTTGAGATTAATTTTAAACATATAATACTTTAAACAAATCATTAAATTACATTTATACTGATAGAACACGTATTGATATTCTGTTATCTAAATCTGTCAATGATAGAACGGTTAGAATGCAAAAAAATACTTTGAATCAATAGATACCAATTTTTCTACAAGAAAAAATCATGAATTATATATTTTTTGTAAATAATTATGTTTTATTCTTAACTTCCGTCTAAGAAAATCGAAAATTTTCAAAAATCGGGAAGTTATTGATTTTACCCCGTTTTTCGAAAATCGAGTTTTCATCGGATATCGACGTTTCGAGGTCCTAGGAATTTTGAGTTGAAATAAACGTGTATTTTGTTTAGAACAATAAAATGCTTTCTTGAATTTGTACAATTTTTAATTGGAAAACTCTGATTTTTATTCAAGAGTTTGACTTTATTGATTAAAGAGTTAATTTTTTGACTTAAAAAAATAATTAAAAAAAAAAAACAGAATTTATGTTTTAATTTTCGAATTACAACAAAAGTTTAAAACTAATTAATAAATTTGTCAATTGCTTTTTGGCAGAGTTAAAGAAAAAAAAAAAATAAAATGAATTCCCTAAAGTGTTTGAATCAATGTATTATATCAATAGTTGATATAAAAGAATGTATACATTCGTTATTATCATTTGAAATATTTAACCATGACTAAAGTAGTAGGAATCTAGTTAAATAAGACGTGAAAGTTATAATCTGAGCAATAATTCTCATAAATTAAATGTAAAATTTCGCTGATTAATAACATTAATTATGAAACACTAAGAGAATAAATTAATGATAAGTATAAATAGATTTATTGATAAATAATTAATTGAGATGATGACGGAGGTTTATTATAAAAATAAGTTACTTGAAAGATATTAAACTGATAAACATGAAAATATTCAATGGACATGCAAAAATAGGAATATCAAGATTTTCTTTTCAAATAAATGTAAACAAGCTGATAAACATAATTTATTATCGAATAGACTTATCGTAAGTTAATGATCTGAGCGAAAGAGAGAAAGTAGTTCAAATGAAACTTAGGATTTAAGTCAGGTCACCGGGTTATTCGGCCAACGAAAGTGAAACTTAAACCTCATTTTTCGAGGTCATCAAAAGTAAAATCTCTGTCCTGTATGAAGGTAAAAGTGTTATGCTATTCGTGAAAGTAAAAGTTATCATTGCAAAAAGGACGTTGACCTATATAATACGATCTAACACAGATTGGTTTCACTTTGTTAAGCTCTCTCTTCAGGTCCATTTTTTATGAGAGAGGAAAAAAAAGTTCTAAAATCTGAAGAAAGTTCAGACAATGCGATTTATCATGTACTCGTACGCAAGTCTTATTTATGATTAATTCATGAATATTAAATGAATAAAAATGAATAAAAAATGTAATAAAATATTATATCACCATATATTGATGGAAAAATTTTAACTGCTTCTGTCGTAGGGTAATCTTAGTTATTTTATCAAAGTTCATCTATAACAATATGTTTATGGTCTAAAATTTAATCAATAACAACAAAAAACCCAGAGATATTAACGTATGATTATTATTTTTTAACATATTCAATCAATTTTTGAGTTTATCTAACAGATAGATGATTTAAAGATAAGATAGAAGTAAATTAATGATATCAGTATAGACGAATTTTATAAAAATTTGCAGATCTCTTGTGGTCATGTCAGGTTGCTGCGAATTTTTAATCGGTGCATATCTATCATCATGATTTATAACTTCTCGTTTTTTATAACAATCGTAATAATCGCATCAATTCAAGGTTTTCCATATCAAGGTGTTGAACAACAGATAGAGGGTGAGTATTTTTCATTTTGCAGCTCAAAAAGATTTTTACTGTGTTATTAATTATTCAAAAAGTTGAATATAATATTACACCGTAGAAAATTTTTTGCGTAAAATGTAAAGTGTAAAAATTTTAATGACGAATATTTAACATTTTAGTGTGTTGATTTCATACAATTGTATGAGATGTTTGATCAATTCGTTTTTCAACACACAAAAATGTTATTTGATCGTTAAATAACACTTTTTCAATGTTACATTAACGAAAAGCTGTATTAAGTACTGTTAACACAGAGCTGTGTCAGTTTTAACACAAAGTTGAGTTACTTTATCATTACCATTACACAGAAATTGTGTTGAATTAACACTAAGTTTCTGCACTGATAGAAAACAAGGTGATTCAAGAAAAAAAATCTTAAATGAAGAACTGGTGTTCTTGGTTCAAGATATTTTTTTTGTATCAAGTTGATGTTTTATCGGTGCATAAAAAAAATCATCAACGCTAATGTTTATGTTTAATTTGACGAAAAATATTTTCTAGATCTAAAAATGGATCACAAATGACAGAAATCATTCTGAATGACCGTTTTGACATAAATTTACCATTGATCCGAAATTACATTCAAAAAAATGGAATGGAACCGTTGCAAATACCTGATCAATGATCAGGGCCGAGAATTTGGTTTTTTTAAAAGAGAGAGACAGAAGATAGGCGTAACCAAGTTTTCTGATTGGTCGAGATAAATAAATTGTTTTTTGTTTTTCGCAATCAAGTGAAAACAGCAGCTTGAAATAAAAAAAATAAAAATTGGATTGCTGATCCAACATTTAAATAATATTTTAATATTATGTCAAAAATAAAAAACAGGTTAGTTTACAATATGTGAAGCTGCTTGTGAACGAATAAATACAAGTCTTTACTGCTCGGATAAATGAAGAAAGAAATTTAAAGCACAATGTTTGAACTGAAATGTTTAATGTTTTTAAGTGAACAGTGACGGTCTCGCTGGAGATCGCGTAAAGGAATTGCTCCCGGTCTCACTGACAAGTACGAGTTTTGGGAACACTGAATTTAAACACTAATTTTCTTCAACTTGAATTCTTCAAAATCGTTGATGTTGAGTAAGTTGAATGTTTACAATTGTAACTAATTGTTTTAATTACTTATCGATAATCTATCATCTTATTTCCTTTTCAATTTAGTGATTTTACAATGAAATTGCAAGGCCACCTGTCAGATATCACTTGATTAATGTTCTTACCAAAGTGCTTACGTTATTCGCCCGAAATCAAGTCTTACGCGAAATTGAATACCAATCAACAGTACTAATCAAGAATAAAATAAAGGAAATTAATGCAATGGAACCAGATGTTATCAATAACATCATGCATTCCGTATTTGGAATTTCTAGCAATTTAACAATAATTTAAATAGCTGGTAATTAATTTTATGTTAGCTTGTTAAATAATTTGGATGACTTTTATACATATTTGTCAATAACAATACATAAGAAATTAATAATTTGTGAATCCTCTCATCTTTTCTTTAGTGTGACTTGAATAAATTTAATAGACTTTCATAAATTCAAATTAAATTTTCTTGAAAAAATTTTATTTAACGCGTGACGTAGTTAAAAGCGTCGCATGATCTTCTTGCTCCGAAAAATTGCAGAGTCTTTTAAATTATTACGAGCTAGAGAATCTTATGATTTTGATTTTTGGAAGAAGATCATGGAGAAAAAGTCTAGATATAATAGTCAAGTTCCGAGATGTTATTTGATGTTCTCTGTATCTGCTAACAACCAAATGCTATTACATTTGGACGTTTTACGAAAAAACTTAAGAAGAAGATTTCTAGATAGTCGAAAGCTTGGTTCTCTCGTATTTTGTTCGTTAATAAGAAGAAATCAATCCTATTGATCCAGAGATTTACAGCATTCGGCCGAATCAGGACTCGTCAATTTTATCTACGGGCATACTTTGTTTAAGCATTTCATTCTCTTGAATTAAGGGGCTATTCTAATCTAGAAGCATGAATTTCAGGTAATTTTTTGAAGTACCGTAAAAAAAAAGCAATCAATATTTTTACCGTCCATTTTTTTATAAGTTATTTATTAACATTACAAGAATACAGAAAAAAATAAAAAAATTTTACAATTAAAAAAATTAGCAACAGATGAAGTGGGGGGCCTCAAAAAATTGGCCCGTGACCATGCCCACGATTCCAACCCTCCTAGCAATCCGAAATAAAAAAGTAAAAAAGA